TGTGTGTGTGTGTGTGTGTGTGTGTGTGTGTGTGTGTGTGTGTGTGCTTGTGGGGGGGGGGTTGAGAAGAAACCCTCTTCCTCTACCTCCCCCATGCCTAATCTAACCCAGCTATGCCCTCCGCCAACCCCCTTCCCCCCTTCTCCCTCTCCATCTATGCTGGAGCCTATAATCATTGAGGCGCCTGTCTGAGGTTAAGTGGTAGTCTGGCTACTGAAAGGGGGTTTGGGGGGCCGGCAAAAGAAATGCCAACCTAACGTCAAGCTGCCCCCTCCCTTCTAGCCTAAAACTCTTTCCTCTACCCCCTTCTCCCAGTATCAAGATGGGTCTGAAAGGGCAATGGTGTTTTCCTTGGTCTGGTCCTCGGAGGCAGCGAGGGAACCAAAGGGGAACAGGTACTGAGTACTACTAGAGACGAGGAGGGACTAAAAAGAAGAGGGAAGAATATACAGGTGTGGGTGTGGATGGAGGACATTGTAGTTTAAGAAGACAAAAGATTTGGCTAACTCCCTATCTCCTGTCTCCCCTTTGTCACCCCAACTTCTTCATCTCTGGAATTGAAAGGGCAGCGGCTGATTAAGCTTTTCTCCTATTCCCTTTTTCCCTTAGCCCTGACTTTGGCCTCCCATCCAGACTCTAATCAGGCCAGGGGGCACCCCCTGCCTGGAGGAGGACCCCCTCTGGGAGACAGTGCCTACTTCAGCAGCAAAGCTCGACTCTCCTTCCGTCACCAGCTGCATGCCACAACTTCGGCCAACGACTCTACCAACTGAAGTCTGGTGGGGACTGACAACTCCTAGGTGGCCGTCAAATCCTGACCTTACATGTCCCACTTCTCATTAAATCTATCCATTGATAGCCAGGTTTGTGTCAGTATTTCGGGAGGGATGCACCCCTAGAAATCACCTTTGCTGAGTGACAAAGACGGAGATTGGACCTAGTGATCACTGCTACTAAACTAGGTGTTGCCGGTAGGAAGAAATACAGGGGTAGGGGGCAAGTGGGGAGTGGGCCGAGATAACGCAGATAACTCAGCAGGGGAAAAAACTTGAAAGTATGTTGACTTGATAACAACGGAATCTGGCAAGACAAATCTCCTAACCAGCAAAGATGTAGGGTTCTTCACTTAGTTCAATTCCTTCCTCCTACTTAATTCAGCTAGTTTCCTGCTCAATTCCGGGAAGCCTTCTCCACAGCTATTGGGTGAATCATCTGGGACACGTTATTTGTGAGGATGTGGAATCACCCCTCATTTCATATGCCCAAGGTCTCCGTAAATTGATGTCAGGGCTACGTGGGTTTGTCAAGTGGGGTTTATAGCTTAACTCCAAAGTTTGCCTCTGGGCACACTGACTAGTTCTGAAATTGACAAACTTGCCTTAGTATATTCCTAGATAACTGGGAAATACATACAGTAGATAGAAGGGGAATCGAGCATGAGAGAACCTGGGACAGGGAGGGGCCCAGAGTTGGTAGTTATTGTGGATTAGGATTAGCACCCTCTCTCAGACCTCTACTAGGAATCTTAGGACCTACAACAGGTCTCAAAGCGGAATCGCGCACAGGGTTTATGGGATCATAGGACATCTAGCTCTTAAGCACAGAGCTGCCTGTTTGAGATAAATTGACACTTATATAACATGTAAAGATTTGCAATTTTTTTAGGTAGAGTATCTTTTGATCTGATCTAACTACCCACTAATGTAGGTACTATTTTCTCTATTTTATAAATGAAGGAGGGAATTGTAGCACAGATTACCAAATAGTTCAGAACACTTGTGACACACAATGGCTGTGATTTTGGGCGAGTTACTTAACCTCAGAGGTCTAGGCAACTAAGACTAAGCAGAGAAAGTGCCAACCTGCACTGGTAGTTTTCTCATGTTTTTCCTGTAACTAGCAAAATCACAGGTCCAGTCCTTGTCCCTATCCAGATGAGCAACGGTCACATAGCTAGTAAGTGTTTAAAGTGAGTTTTGAACCCAGGTTATCTCCTGACTGAAGCACAGAAAGATTAAGTGACTTGCCCAGGGTCACACAGCTTGTGCCTGTAGGTAGAACTGAACTCAGGTTTTCCTGACTCCAGGCCCAGTGCTTTATGCACTGCATGACCAGGCCCATTGTTCTTTCCACTCTACCTGCTACCTCTTGAAATGACTAGATAGGTCTCCCTGAGGTGTGTATCTTCATGTCCTCTTCCCCTCTCCCTTTATCAATTCAATCATGTGATTCAGTATATGTAAAAAAAAGAAAGGGTGGAAGTTCACAAGGGGAGGCTGAATGCACTGGTAGAAGGGAAAGAACACAGAACTTGATCTCCTAAGACCTGTGGTTCAGTCCTCATTCTATCCCTTACTTCGACTTTTAGCCCATTTCCCCCCCCCCATACAAAGGGGATGTACTTGATAAAGTTCTTCCCAGTTCTGACATTATGTGGCTTTTAGAGGTGACTACTGTCCTGAAAATAGACTTGAGACTAGAAGGGTTTGGGTGTCTAAACCCCTTTTCTTCCCAACTTAAGTAGAATGAGAGCTGCTCCAGGGTAGGACTCTTGTTCCTTTTACCTCTTTTGCGCCTATTCTTCTGATTCAAAGGAATCTAGCCTCCCCCCCTCCCCCAACCCTCCCAGGGATCACAGCCTGCAATGGTGATCTCAGCACAGACATCTACAGAAACTGAAAAAGGGGTGGGGAAAGGGGAAAGAACCAGACATACAAACTCTCCCCTTGACCCATAGTTTATTGAATCTCGGGTATATCTGAGGATGGCTTATCATTAGGTAGAGGGGGAGGTACAGAGAGAACACGGAGGTAGCAGATCTCAAGCTGAAGGATATGTGGCAGCAGGGAATCGGGGAAGCTGGTCCCCCATAAGCACCTGCCGATCCACTCCTTTCTCTGTAATCGATGCCAATCGGATTACGCCACCACTTGAGCCATCCCGATCCATGGCCAAAGCAAGAGCTGGGGAAGAGAAACAGCAGGTTGAAGAAAAAAAAAAAAAGGAGGAATACAGGAGCCAAACCTGAGTTGGTAAGAGGAGAATAAACAGGCCTAGAAGTCAACATCCTCACCATTGGCAGTGAACTGAAGACACTGCTTTTCATTCATACCCTCTTGATAGGAGGCATCAACATAGCCATAGATGTAGGAGCTACCTGAACCCCCAATGGAAAAAGGCTGCCGAACCATCATACCTCCCATGGGTACTGAGTACACCTGAAAATGGGAGATACAGGAAAGGAAAAGTTAGTACACACAGACACTGACAGGAGGGAGGGAGGGTGGGTGGGTGAGTGTGGGGAGAATCATTTAGGAAGATTCAATTGTAGAGAGACTGGAAATAAAAAAGGGAAAGAAATGAAAAGGGAGACCAAAGTATAGACTCAGATGACATACAGGAAGTGGCAGTGAACTGATACCAAAGAATATCACTGTACTGAGCTAGGCTCTCGTAAGTAGGATTCAGGCATCTAACCTGCCCCCCCTCATAGGGATCCCAGCCAGCGACGATGATCCCAGCCATGAGATCCTCTCGGTAACGATAACACATCTCCTTGAAGAGGTTAGCAGCTGTGTGGACCAGGGGAGGTTCATTCAGTTCAATGCTACGAGGGTCAAGGTAAGGAGCATTGGTGCCCGATTAACTCAGGTGTGAGCCCCTCTCTCCACCCCCAGATCTTTCTTTCTTCAAAAGGCTCAGGCACCTGCCTCCCTGCACCCAACCTGTTGCCACCTGTGGAAACTTAGCTGATAGGTGACCGCATCCGCCACGGCCTGGGTGTCCGCAGCTGACCCCGAACGGCAGCAGAAGATCCGGTCGTGGATAGGGGTCAGCTTGTCTGTAACTCGGTTGGCAATATACGACCTGCACAGGAAATGGCAGTCAAGGAACCCGGGGCAGAGCTCACGGGGACTCCTTTGCGCTCCCCCTCCGCAGGCTCAGGGAAGGGGGTGTCCAAGCCCATCCCCAGGCCAGATAAACACAGGAGGACTCACCCGGTGGTTGTCCTGGAGTCGGCTCCAAGGACCACGCCCCCATCAAACTGCACAGCCATGATAGTGGTCTGGGGGCAACAACAACGACAGCTAACATTTATACAGCCCTACTGTGTGCCAGGCACTGTGCTAAGCGCTGTGCAAGCCTGGGAGGCTCCAAGTTTTACCCTCTTCACCCATGCCCAAGACCTCTCTACCCCCCCCCCGAGTACCCCAGCTCCGGGTGGGGGGTCTGCCCCAGCCTCCCCTCCCATTACCCTTCCAAGTCCCCCCCCCGGTTCCCAGCGTGCTCCGCGCCCCCGCTATCCCAGCATTCCACGCCCGAAGCCACCACAAGGACCACTGGGATGCGAGCCCCGTGAGACCCCCACGGAATCTTGGGGCTCCCTCCCGCCTCCCCAGGCTGCTTCCCGAGGTCCCCATCAGCCCCGCGCACTCCACACAGCTCTCGCTCTTTCTCGCCCCAGCCCGGCCTCACCCCAGTGGAGACGCCCCGATCCCCCCAGTCCGGGGCGAGGCCCATGGGCCCATAGGCTGGGCCTGAGCACGCTCCGCGAGCCCCCACTAAAGACGAAGCCATTGTTCTGTGGTTCTGGCAGCCTAGGCCCAGCGTGGTCGGAAAGCACCTGTCGCAAAGTGCTCGGTCACCGCCCCGTCAGAGCCGGAAAGCGGCACCCGCCGGGAGGCCGAGCGTGAGGATCCCCGCGCGCCGGGCCGTCGTGTGACGCTAAACGGCTGCGCGCAGCTGCGTCACGCCGCAGGGGGCGGGGCTTTGTGGCTTGTCCCCTGTCACGAGGCTCGTTAAGCTTTTAGAGCTGCAGCCCTTCGGTATGAGTAGGGCAGCAGATTAAATAAGGAGCTGAAACTCAGACGGCGTCTCCTATCAGCCTCGGGAAGGCTTATGGAAGATGTCCGGCTGGCCCTAGGCTTTAGAGCTGGGGAGCTTGGAGGTTTAACGCATTTTTATCTTATAAAATAAAATTTTATTTCAGTTTTTAAAAAAACGTACTTCAAAAATATTTATTTGTTGAAAGATAAATTACATATCGTTCTTCCAATACCAACAGTCATCGGCATATTTCTCCCTTCCCTTAACACAAAGGAAAAAAACAAAAAGAAAATTAAGCAAAGCCAATCTGTCCTCTGTAGAATTGTGTACCCAATAGTCCCCCGCCCCCGCCCCCGCAAAGAAGGGAAGGCAGCTCCCGAATTTTAAAGAAAGGGAAAGGGGCTCCAGCTCCTCTGGTAAGGACTCATGCAATAAAAAATTGATAGGAAAACTGGAAAGCAGTCTGGCAAAGGTTAGGTATTGTGAACCATTTTGAGCCCCTCATCACCTAAGAAAGGCCTAAAACCTGGATTGGCAAATCAGGAGAAAGACATTTTGGCCCCCTCTGAGCTTAACCTACCATAATGCTTCGTGTGCTCTGGCATAACACACATGCTTTGCTTTGTTCGCTGAGTGAACCCAAAATGCCCCTTCCTGTGTCAGCAACTACAAGGCCAGATAAAGCTGACCAGGAGCATTCTTCTGTTTATGATTGCCCAGGATAAGGTGCCTTGAACCGGACACTATCTTGAGTAATGGGGCTTTTCTTATCTTGGTATTTTATGGACGCATGTAGTCATGTTAATGATAAAAGAAACACAAACATCCTGGATCTATAATTTCAATTGACACCTTGACATTTTCTTATCTTACTGTATTTACAACCTATTCTATTAAGAAATTTCTTTCTCATACTATGGTTAACCCATATGGAGACTATAATTTTGATTGACAGGCATCTTGAGTTGGAATTGTCCCAAGTGTATAAAGGGTCTCCTTCAGCTTGTTTTTACCTCTGAGTTCAGAAATATTTTCTGACTCCTATACAATGCATGATTCTCTGGCTTAATGAGAATAAATAAACAGGTTATAGCACATCTACAGCCTGATTCTATTTGTTCCTTGTTCAAACCTTTGGTAAGGTGAGCCTCGTGTTTATTCTCTGGACAAAAAATAGGGAGATCCTGTTCTGTTAGTTATTAGGACAGACCTTTGGTTAAGGGGGAAACTGATTCTGTTTGTTTCTTTGGACCAAACCTTTGGTAATGGTTGACAGTATATAGACCAACACTTCACACTATACAGGGTGTCCCAAAAGTCTTAGTTCAGTTTTAAGCTTTATTATTTTCATGAAGACTTTTGGAATATCCAGTATAACAACATAAGCTCCAAATGGATAAATTAGAGGAGAATAGTAATAATAAAAATTAGAGGAACAAAGAAAAAAATTACCAACTCTAAAAAGGGATGGTCATGAAAGATCACAGAAGGTAAAAGACATTGTTGATTAAATGAAGTTGAGAAGTTTTTGCAGAAATAAAACTAATGCAGTTAAACTCAGAAGGAAAAGTTAACTGAGAAAAAATATTTGGTAGAAGTCTTGTGTCCAAGTTATATGAGGAACTGATTGAAATGTATAAGAGCTATTCCCCAATAGATAATTGGCCAAAGAAATGTAAGCTATAAACAAGAACATGAAAATATGTTCCAAATTACTAATAATTAAGGAAATGCAAATTAAAATTACTGAGGTTCTGCTTAATACCCATCAGACTGGCAAAATTGAGGAAAAAGGAATGTGATAATTGTTGGAAGGTTTGGGAGGAGGCATTGTTGATAGAGTTCTGAATTGGTCCAGCTATTCTGAAAAGTAATTTGGAACTATACCTCAAAAGTCACTAAACTGAAAATACCATTTGGCCTGTACCCAAACTCTATCAAGGAATGAGGAAAATGACCTATACATACAAAAACATTTATAGCAGCTCTTTTTGTAGTGGTAAAGAACTGGAAACTAAGGGGATTACCCATTAATTGGGGAATGTTTGGACAAACTATGCTATATGAAGGTAGTGGAAATCTATTGTGCTCTAAGAAATGAAGAAAGAGACAATTTCAGAGAAGATATTACATGTACAGTAACAACAGCATTGTAAAGTCAAAAATTTTGAAAGACTTTAAGAACTCCAATAAACTCCAGTGACTATCCTCAATTCCAGAGCACCGATGATGAAACATGTTACCCACTCCCTAACAGAAATAAGACATAATTTAGGGACATGCCATATTGAAATTTGTTTTGTTTGACTATGTATATTTATGACAGAGGTTTTGTTTTTATTTTTTTGTGAGGGAAAATTGAGAGGGAGAGAAGATCTAAGGATATGGTTGACAAAAAAAAGGAGGGTCATTAAAGCATTTCTTTTAAACTTACAGAAGAAAACAGGCTAGGAAAATTCATAGAAAAGCAGAACAACTTTAAAAGTTACATGTTGAATTTATTTTATACTTAGAAAGCAAGCTGTATGTAAGATTTAGAGTTTCATACACAAGTCCTCTTTTTCTGGTCTACCTTGTATATGAGAATGCTAATTTTAGTTGTATTGGTTAATGTTAGATTTTTTTAATTGGAAAAAAAAAAGAAAGACTATTCAACAATAACAACAACAGCAGATAAATTAAGGTCAAGTGAGAGTGTCTTATTGAAACTGAATTTTCTTTAAGAAAAATTCTGTAATCTGGAATCCTTAATCTCTAAAAAATTGACTTCCTGGTGATGAATTTGTCTTGGCCCCAAGAGTTGATGGGGACAGTCCACCACTACAGAAAGGGTGCTCACATAAATTGTGTAGGGAAGTAATCACCTTTTGAAGCAAGAATATTCAAGAGTCTCAAAAGCTCCACACTCAAAAAAAAAAGCTCCAAACTCCATTCCATAACCAGAAAGAAGTCTCTGGGGTGGAGGCTGGACTCTCCCAGCCCATCCCATCCTATAACTTCTAAAGATGGAATTCCCCTGACCATCTCTGCTCCTCTCTCTATCATCTGTCTCCTCTAGGGATCCTCCCATGTCCAGCCCCTTCACCCAAACTATTAGGCTCCATCTAAAACACGTACATACATTTCCTCCCCGGTAGTGAGGTGGGAAGAAGACCTGAGTGTTCTTTCTCATTCTGCCACTAATTGTTTGTGTGACTGTTGCTGGCAGTTTCTCCATCTATAAAATGGGTGTATGGGATATTTGCCCTCCTTCATCTGTAAAATGAAGAGGGTCAGACTAGAGAGGTTTAGGGAAAGGCAGCTTCAATTTCTAGTTCTGGTCTAATCATTTACACCGTGACCTTGAGCAAGTTAAAACTCCACTTTCTTCATCTGTAAAATGGGAATAATACCTACCTTGTCATAACTTTTAAAAAATGTAACAAACATTTATTAAGGGCCTACTGTAGGCTGAACCTCTTTATTGTGATAAGACATAGTTTGGATAAGTATATACAGAATAAAGATAAAGAAAATAAATACAAATACAAGATAGAGAGGGAGGGCACCAATTCTAACCTCATTCTGCTTAGAAATAGCACATTCCCAGATAAACTATAATAAACAGTATGACATTAATTGCACTACAGATGCAGAACAAATTGCTTTATGGGGTTCAAGAGTAAAAAGGTCATTATTGCCTGGAGGAATTACTCAGCTTATCCAAAACAGAATTCACTATCTTTTCCCCAAACCCACCCCTCTTCTAAATTTCCATGTTTGGGGGATCAAGGTGTCTCAGTAGATAGAGTTCTGGGTCTGGAGTCAGGAAGACCTGAGTTCAAATTGTACCTCTCTCAGATCTTTAATAGCTGTGTGACCCTGGGCAAGTCACTTAACCTTATGTTTGCCTCAGTTTCCTCAACTTTAAAATAATAATAGCACCTATATCCCAGGGTGGTTGTGAGAATCAAATGAGATATTTGTAAAGTACTTGGCACAAGTGACTGACACATAATAAGTGCTACAGAAAAATACTAGCTATTATCATTTCTGATGAAGGCATCACCATTCCAGCATCCCAGATTTGTAATTTTAGTATCATCCTGGATTCCTTATTTTCCCTCATCCCACATATCTAATTAGTTGCCAAATCTTGTCATTTCTTTTTTGTTGTTATTTAGTGGTTTTCAGTCTTGTCTGATTCTTCATGACCCCCTTTTGGGTTTTCTTTAGCAAAGATACTGGAATGGTTTGCCATTTCCTTCTCAGGCTCATTTTACAGACAAGGAAACTTGAGGCAAACAGGGTTAAATAACTTGCCAGGGTGACATATCTAGTAAGTATCTGAGACCCAATTTGAACTCAGGTCTTCCTGACTCCAGGTGAAATGCTGTATCCACTTCACCACCTAATAATATCTCTTTAATTGTGCCCTTTCTTTGTACCCACACAGCTACAACCTTTAGCTCCAGCCTCTCCACCCCTTACCGAGACTATTTCAATTCCCTTTGAATTGATCCCCACTCCAGTCATCCTCCATATAGCTGCCAAAGTGATTATCTTTTTTTTTTTTTGGCTAAGCAATGAGGTTAAGTGACTTGCCCAAGTTCACACAGCTAGTAAGTGTTATGTGTCTGAGGTTGAATTTGAACTCAGCTCTTCCTGAATCCAGGGCTGGTGCTCTATCCACTACGCCACCTAGCTGCCCCAGAGTGATTTTCCTTAAGGCAAATCTCCAAGATCTAACCAGTTCACATTCTTACTCAATAAACTCCCATGGTTCCTTATTGCCCCTAGGATCAAATGAAAGATCTGTTTCTTTTTTAAATTCCTCCGGGACCTGGCTCAATCTATCTTTCTAGCATCCTTGTATGTTACTTCCTCACTTATATTCTGTATACTTCTCTGTGCTCTTCACAAAAGGCACCCTATCTCTCTTTTCCCTGCCTTAGCACTATGGTGCCTCCCACCTGCAATTCACTCCCTCTTCATCTCAGCCTCATAGATTCCCTTTCTTGTTGTTTAGGACTCAGCTCTGGTATCACCCTCTACATGAAGCCTCTCTTGGTCGTTCCCCCCACCCCCCCAACTGCTAGTGCTCACTCTCCCTCCCTTGCTTTTAATTACTTTGGGGGTTGGGGTTTTTATATTTATTATCTCTATTATTATGTATTTATTATTCATTATACATATACTTGTATATGTTGTCTCTTCCATTAGAATGTCAACTCTTTGTGATTAGGGTTTGTTTCACTCTTTGTATTTGTATCCCCAGCACCTAGTACAGTGCCTGGCCCACTGAAGGCAATTGTTGATTAGGAAAAAACTGCTTCATAGAATATAATCCTCTATATAAATGTAGACTGTTATCCCCAACTGTCTCTGCTTGTATAGACACATGTAACTCACACCTTGGAATGACAGATGCTAAAAACATTTTATTTACCCTATGTCCATCTTTCATATGATGTTCATGAAAGATGCAAATGGAGGCTAAGAGTTTGGGTTCCAGGGCTGAGAGGGAGTGTCAGTATGGGAGAGAGGAGGTGCTTAAGGAACTGAGTGCTGCTTCCGATTGGCTTCCTCTCTCCTACCCTTCGGTTTCCACGCTGTAGGGGAGCACAGAGTTCTTCCAGTGGCCCTGCTACCTGTCCCCAGTAGGCTTCAGAGTAACTCTCTCGGTCAGCAGCCCCCTTTCAGCCAGCAGCCCTTGGGTGCGGTTGAAGACAGCCTCCAGCACATCAGCTACCTGAGACAGGGCTTCCTGGGCCTCCTGCTCACTGTCTCCTGGGCATACCAGCGCCAGTATTTGGCTCTGACTGGGGAAGGCGAGGAAGGCTAGGTTTGCTGCCTGGCGGATCAGCCACGGGTGGTGGGGGCTCAGCACACTCTGATAGGCTTCCCTACACAGAGTCCCCATGTTTGTGTTCTGAACTCTGGCGATGCCACCCAGGCAGAGCTGGGCCCAGTGAAGGGCTCGGTGCAGAAGCACCAACGTATGGAGACCAGAAGAATGTTTAGATGGATCCTGCTCCCAATCAGCCATGGCAGAGAAGGTGTGATAATGGGTGGAGTAGGGGCCTTGGGAATAAGACTCGAGGACTGAGAGTTTTGCAGAGGCTTCCTGGGTGGCAAAGGTAAAGAGGGTGCCCAGGGGGTCCAGGAGCCTACAGGTGAAAGAAAGGAGATGGAAAAGAGAATGAGACTTTGCCAGGGAGGCAGTCAGTCAGTCTCCAAGCATTTGTTAAACACTTATGATATGCCAGGAACTGCCCTAAATCTTGGGATTACAAAGAAAGACAAAAGGCAGTTCCCTGTTTTTTGTTTTTTGTTTGTTTTTGCTTTTTGGTGAGGCAATCAGGGTTAAATGACTTGCCCAGGGTCACACAGCTACAGTTCCCTATTCTTAAGGAGCTCCCAGTCTAATGGGGGAAATAACATGGAAGCAATCATGTACAAAGAAGCTATATTCAGGATAAATGCTAGAGGCGAAGGCTCTAGCAATTAATCTGGCAGGGCTTCTTGTCGAAGGTGGGATTTTAGCTGGGATGAATGATTCAAGGGCTGTACTCACATGACCAGTTTCCTCCATCCATCCAGAAACTGGGGCAACTGTAGGTCTCCCTCAGTTGTTAAACTCTTTCTGAAAGGCCTCACCATTTGGCCTGGCAGCTTGTCTGGGCCCAAGCAGTGAAGTTCACCAGATTTCAATCCAGGCTCCACCTGTGGGAACAGATCTGGCAAGAAGGGTAGGGAATTGAGGGCAGCCTAGGCCTCTGAAGTCTGATTTACATCCTTCTAACCTTAACTCCACCCCTCCCATCTCCTGGAAGAAAGCAAATGATTCCCTGTGCTGGTGCTGCTAGTTCTTCTGTTCTGGTCTCCTCTGAGTTCCCCAGATTTAACAAAAAATGTAGGCCCCATGATTTTTTTGATGGTAATGGTTCAGTTGATAATTCCTTAGACCAAACATTTGTTTTTTACTATTCTCTAAAATATGTTACACAGAAATAAATAGGAAAGGTAGGATTTTTTAAAAAGACAAACTCTTGGCCAGGGCTCTTACCTGGGAAGTCAAGGACCTCTCTGGAACACAGAGCTCAACCCTGAATCCACAGCCTTTGAGCTCATCTTCTGGGGAGGGGAGAGGGTGGTGGTAAAGGGGCACACACCAAGATTTCTTAGGGAGTGGGAGCAAAGAATTGGGGATGGTAGAATGAGATTCTGGGGAAGTGGGGGTACGTAAGTAGACAGTAACTCACTGAGCTTCTCTCCCGTCAGATAGAACAGCAACATGAAGATGAAGATGGTGAAGGGAAGAGCATATCTGAGCCAGTGCCTAGGGGCCCAAACTTTAGAATCACGGGGCAACAGCTTTAGTTTCATGGTCACTGTCCTGAATCACTGCCACCTCCCCAGCCCCTCTGGTCAGTACTGGTGTCTCTGACTCCTGGGTAGGTGGAGAAGACTCAGCCACGCCTTGGAGTGAAGGGGCTAATAATTAAGCTTTCTTTCAGTCCCTACTGGCCTTTGACCCAGGGAAGAGTCCAGGCCAGTAGTAAAAGGAAATAGTGTCTCTCTGTAATCCTGTCAGACCCCTCCAGCCCTCTTTAGGGATCCAGGCCACACGGCCAAACCCTGAAATGTCCTTTTGGGCAGATCGGTACCAACCCAAATCTGACAGACCACCTTATAAATATTTTGGTTCCCTGGTCAACCCACCCACAAACCACAGAAAATTAGAGGTGGGTCAGACCTCACAGATCACTTAATCTAATCCTGATCTGAGTAGGAATCCCTTCTATAGCATCTCCATAAGTGGTGTTCTAAAAGAGGTAATGTGGACACAAAAAAGGTTACAAAAATGTTCATACCCCTTTGATCTAACAATACTGATCTTGTATTTATACACTATAGGGTCTCATGACAGAAAGGAAGGACCCATATGAGTACAAACATTCCTGGCAGTACTATTAGCAATAGAAAAAAAAATGGAAGAGCATGACCAACTATTGAAAATGGCTAAAATAAATTATGCTGTATAAAGGTAGTACCTACTCACTGAGGCTACTATGCCAACTTGAACTCCGGCTGGCAGGTAGGGTCCCCAGAAGAGGGGCTTGCTATTGATCTTTTCAGGTATATAGGGGCAACACTTTGGGGTTGGGCTTAGAGAGTTGGGTTAATATTCCAAGCCTCCATGAGGATGGGTACCAAAATTTCTCCAGGAATCCCTGTAACCTTGGGAATCTTCTTGAAGATACTGGCAAATTTCCTCTGAATCTCTATACCAAAGGGCAAAAAAAATTTCCCCACTGGATCCCTGCTACTGGATAATCCAAGTAGAATTCTAAACTCATCCAGCAATAAGAGAAGCAGAATCAATTCAAGAAGAGAGAAAACAGAAGCAGGTAAATCTGGAACAGGTTGGGGCCTCCCAAAAGTGGTTTAATACTTGGGGTTGACACTCAGTTTCTAGATCAGCAAAGCAAATTTCATCCAATGTATCTGCATTCCATAAGGATCTTATACTCAGTTCTGGTTCAATTAAATTAAAAAGTTTTTCATCATCACAAAATAAGCCAACAGGAAATAGTCTGAATACCTGCACATGCTCTGAAACAGGGAGAAAGGGTCCTTCCATAATGTATTTCCAGAAATTGTCTTGCCAACTGGGTTGATAAGAGACAAAACATATTGTGATACTCTAAGGCAGAGGTGTCCAATGCTCTGCCCACAGGCATGAATCCCACAACATTCCCATGTACCCCCTAACCAGATTAAAATGTAATTGGGAGATATGTAATAAAATAAATAAAAATACAATAAAACATAGAGAATATTAATATGTGGTTTTCTAAGTCAAATGTGCCACAGATAGGGATCTTTATGTGGGATTTAGTGGCCCCTGTTTCTATTTGAATTTGACACCACTGCTCTGAGGAAGTTATTGACCATTTTCTTCATTACATAAAGGTATTAGAATATTATTGCACCTTAACAAACGATGAATATGAAAAATAAAGAAATATGGGAAGGCTTGCACGAAGTGCTCTAGAATGAAGAAAGCAGGATTAATAACAGACATGCTGACTTCAGGTATTTAAAGGACAATCATATTAACCAGCAGTCAAACTAATGTTAAGTGCAAAGGACAATTTTGATGTTATCTTTTTTTTTTTGCAGCTATTTTGTTAAATGTGAATGTAAGTGGTCTTCTATTCATTTTGCCAATAGGTAATCCCAGAGGAGCAGTTAGGTGGCAAAGTGGATAGAACTCTGGCCTTGGAGTCAGGAGGACCTGGGTTCAAATTCAGCTTCAGACACTTGACACTCACTAGCTGTGTGACCCTGAGCAAGTCACTTAACCCCAATTGCCTCACAAAAAAGAAAAAAAAAAAGTAGGTAATTACAGAATCTAATAAATAGGCTTAGAGGCCATGAAGTCCAACCCATATCTAACTAAAAGTGTCATTACCTCGGCAGTGTTCTTCCCATAGCACCACTCTGCCTCCAAAGAGTTGGCCAGCTTTTGTATGAAGGTCTCCAATAAAGAAAAACCTACTACCTTCCGAGGCAGCTCATTCCACTTTTGGACAGCTTTAATTTTAGGAAGGGGTGTGTGTGTCTGTGTGTGTGTGTGTGTGTGTGTGTGTGTGTGTGTGTGTGGGTGTGTGTGTGGGTGTGTGTGGGTGTATGAGTGTGTGTGGCTAAGTGGCACATTAGATGTTTTTCTGGTCTCATTTCATTACTCTTTTTCTAGACTGGATCTGTTAGATATAGTCAAACTGACTTTTTCTCTGTTCCTCACAAAAAGCATCTCCCACTTCCTTGTCTTTGCAATGGTGATTTTCTATACAGGCATACCTTGGAGACATTGTTGGTTTGGTTCCAGAACACTGTAATGAAGTGAATATTGCAATAAAGCAAGTCACATGAGTTTTTTTGTTTTCCAGTGTATATAAAAGTTATGTTTACATTATACTATAGTCTATTAAACGTACAATAATATTGTCTGAAAAAACAATGTACGTACCTTAATTTAAAAATACTTTATTGATTAAAAAATGCTAACCATCATCTGAGCCTTCAGTAAGTCCTAATCTTTTTGCTGGTGGAGGGTCTTGCCTCGATGTTGATGACTGTTGACTGATCAGGGTGGTGGTTGCTGAAGATTGGGGTACCTGTGGCAATTCCTTAAAATAAAACAACAAAGAAGTTTGTCAAATGGATAGACTCTTCTTTTCATTTGAACACTTAGAGGCCACGTTAGGGTTATTAACCAGCCTAATTTTGAAATTGTGTCTCAGGGAATAGGGAGGCCTGAGAAGAGGAAGAGAAACAGGAATGGCCTGGTGGAATAGTCAGAACACACACAAAACGTGTACCAATTAAGTTTATTTTCTTATGTGGCACAGTTCATGGCGCCTCAAAACAATTATAATAGTAACATCAAAGATCACTGATCACAGATCACCATAACAGATATAATAATAATGAAAAGTTTGAAATATTGCAAGAATTACCAAAATATGACACAGAGACACAAATGTGAGTGCACGCTGTTGGAAAAATGGCACCTGATAGACTTGTTCAAGGCAGGGTTGCCACAAATCTTCAGTTTGTAAAAAATGTAGTATCTGCAAAATGCAATATCTGTGAAGCACAATAAAGCGAAGTGCAATAAAAAATAAAAAGCCTGTATTTGGATTTCATTCCCTCCTCACCTCCTCGATGTCTCATAGAATCCTTCTCTTCCTTGAAGGCTCAACTCAAGTATTATGGATTACTGTACATGAGGCCTTTCTTGGTACCTTTAAATGCTACTGCCCTCTCTCTCTAATTACCTTGTATTTAACTACTTTGCATTTATTTGTATCTATTTTCTTTATGTTTATTTTGCATATGCTTTCATATGACATTGTCTCCTCCATTAGAAGGTAAGTTCCTTGTTTCATTCTTTGTGTTTGTATCTCTGGCACCAAAGGGATGGGTTGATTGAAATGATGAAACACCCTTCATTTCTGTTGATGAAGTACTTTTGGGAGAGGAATGTGGCATGTACTGTATCAGAACAAAAAGACAGAATCACTTGGCATTGTGTTTAGTGGTCAGATAGATTATAAACAATATTTATTATGTCAGGTGGCTGTTTGGAGGTTGGTTGCCTGATATCCTGGGGCAACTAGGTGCAAAGTAGATAAAGCGCCAGGCCAGGCCTGGAGCCAGGAAACCTGACTCAAATATGGCCTCAGACACTTATTAGCTGTGTGACTCTGGGCAAGTCATTTAACTCTGTTTGCCTCAGTTTCCTCATCTGTAAAATGAGCTAGGGAAGGGAATGGCAAACCACTCCCGTATCTTGGCAAGAAAGGTCCAAATGGGGTCACAAAGAGTCAGAGATGACTGAAAAACAACAATCAACTAAGTGTCCACACAAAAAATGTGGGCTAGAAAGTTCTAGAAATTACCTCAGATTTGTATTATAGTGATGAATCAAGAAGAGTGTTTATAAAAAAGAAAGGGGAAAAAGTCAAAGATACATTTGTGATAATATTAGATCATAATAATACATCTTCTTATCCTCCTCGAAGGCCTTAGCAGTCTTCATAATAAAAGGGTACAGGGGTAAGGATAGGACCAGCAAGATGGTGAAATAGTTGTTTTCCACATTCCGCTTTAACCTGACAGCTTCAAAAGAAAGGTAATACACTCCAAACCTGGTATAATTAAAGCTGAATCCAAAAGATAAGAAAACAGCATTCAGTCACTAAGTACTTTTACTTCCTGGAGTGTGAATGCAAATAGGCTATTTGAGATGCTTTGTTTTCTGTGTTTAAACAGAGGCTTCTTGAGTTCTTCTATGTCTTAAGCGTGTGTGGGGGGGGAGGTGTAATAGGAAATAAACAGCTGTTCTATGCCCCATACACATATTAAACAGTAAATATCTTTCCATGAAGAACCTCATTCTCTCCACATTTTGGGGAGACTCTAAGTATGAGTCATGCCTAAGCTTTGTTTTAGAAATTTTTCCAGAGTTACTCTGGTGTGAAAGGGGCAACAACAAGCCAGAAGCACAGCAGTTTTGCATTCATCTCAAATCTCCACTGTCTAAACAACTCACAATGTCTGAATCTCCAGGCCTGCCAGGTAATGGCTTTCTTTTAGTCCTTCAGGTTTAGGATAATCCTGTCCTTGTAGATTTTTTTTTTTTGGTAGGCAATGGGATTAAGGGACTTGCCCAAGGTCACAGCTAGTAAGTGTCAAGTGTCTGAGGCTGCGTTTGAACTCAGGTCCTCCTGGCTCCAGGGCCAGTGCTCTATCCACTGCACCACCTCGTTGCCCCTAGATCTTTCAATATATAAGGATGGCACCCAGGGAATTCTCCTCATCATTTCCCACCCAGCTATTTTCCT